AGTAGTAGTAGCAGCAGTAGCAGCAGTAGCAGTAGCAGTAGCTGTAGCAGTAGCAGCAGCAGTAGCAGCAGCAGCAGTAGCAGTAGCAGTAGCAGTAGCAGTAGCAGTAGCAGTAGTAGTAGTAGTAGTAGTAGCAGTAGCAGTAGCAGTAGCAGTCGCCGTAGTTGCAGCAGTGGGGGTCGTCGCAGGAGTATCCGTAGTGGCCGTAGTAGCAATAGCAGTCTCCGCAGTAGCAGCAGCGCGTAGTATACATACCATTCGGTCTCCGCGTCCTGTCGGTTCTGATGTCCGCGTCCGCGCCTACGTTCTCTGGCCCTCCGCCATGGTGACAGGTCGCTCTGCCGCGGGAGAGTGGTCTCCGCGCCCTCTCGTTTTCGACGTCCGCGGCCGCGCCCAGGTCCTCTGGTCGTGTTGTCCCTGGCGACAGGTCGCTCTTCCGCGGGAGGGTGGTCTGCGCGCCCTTTCGTTTGCGACGTCCGCGGCCGCGCCCTGGTTCTCTGGTCCTCCGCCGTGGCGACAGGTCGCTCTGCCGCGGGAGGGTGCTCTCCGCGTCCTCTCGATTGCGACGTCCGTGGCCGCGCCCAGGTCCTCAGGTCCTGTCCCCTGGCGACAGGTCGCTCTGCCGCGGGAGAGTGGTCTCCGCGCCCTCTCGTTTGCGACGTCCGCGGCCGCGCCCTAGTTCTCTCGTCTTCTGCCATGGCGACAGGTCGCGCGATCGCCCCCGAAGGTGGGCAGGCGCGGGCGACACGCCACGCAAAATTTCTCACGCGGCGAACGGCGCGGCCTGTCGGATACCCTTGGCGTCCTGTCTGGCGTGCGCCGCCCGTCTCGGGGTTGCGGGTCGGCCGCGGGTAACCGCGGTCGCGGCTTCGGCAGGGTACCCTTGTGTCCTGTGGTTTTGGAGGCAATGTTGCCGTCGGAAGAGTCTTGTGTCCTGTCGCGCGTCCTGTGCGCAATAACCCGCCTGTACGGCACGGGCGGCGAGGACATCGCGCCCACAGCGGCCTTAACCAGGTCATCTAGGACGCGCAGCGGGCGCACATGAACGCGGCGGCTGCGCTGCGGTTGGGCAATCCTGTTCCCGCGAACTTTCCAGCCCCGCCACCCATGGCGCCGCCGCCGCTGCCGAAGTGGTCAGGGCGGTTTTCGAATGCTGCTATCGCGGCCGCCAGGGCTGCGCACACTGCTGGGGAGGCTGGGCCGCCACCGCCCGCCGCCAAGGCCAAGGCGCTACAGGCGCCGGCGCCAGCTTGTTGGCGTTCGGCTACGCCGCAGCTGCCAAGGCGGTGCCCGTCAACGCGAAGGCCGAGCCTCCCGCCCCGCGGAGCGGATTCCGCTTGCAGGGCACAGCGTGTCGCAAGGTTCGCCGCCGCGGCACGCCAAGCAAGAGTTCCTGACTGTAGATCGTAAGGCACGGAAGCTTCCTCAAGTGTGTATCTGCGAGTAGCGCCCACTGGCGTCCAAGAGTACCAAATAGCGCCCAGTGGCGCCCAAATCGTGCCCACTTTTTCCCAACAGCTCCCGATAGCGCAGAATGGCGCCCATCGGCGCCGAACAGCGCCCGAACGGCGCGCTAGTGGGTGCCGTATGGACGCCCGAAAGTCTCCGTGAGTTGCTTGCCAAAGTTGACGTGGCCTCGTCGTCCTCGTCGCCTCGTCGTCCTCGTCGTCCTCGTTGTTGTCGTCGTCGTCGTCGTCGTCGTCGTCGTCGTCGTCGTCGTCGTCGTCGTCCTAGTTGTCGTCGTCGTCGTCTTCGTCGTCGTCGTCGTCGTCGTCGGTCGTCGTCGGCAGAGCGGCAGGCGCTCGCTCGGCGTTGGGCCCGCCCGCGCCGCCAGGTCTGCACGCTGGTGGCGCTGCTGGTCGCCCTGCCGGCGGTCCCGCCCCGCCCCTGCCTCCGCCTCCGCCCTTGGCGTCAGCGGTGGCCCTGGCTGTGCCCCGCCCCTCCTCCTCCTCCCGCATCCCCCTGTTCCTCCTCCTCCTCCTCCTCCTGCTCCTCCTCCTCCTCCTCCTCTCTCTCCTCCTTCTCCTCCTCCTCCTCCCTCCTCCCTCCTCCTCCTCCCGCATCCCCCTGTTCCTCCTCCTCCTCCTCCTCCTCCTCCTCCTTCAGCTCCTCCTCCTCCTGCTCCTCCTGCTTCTTCTGCTCCTCCTCCTCCTGCCCCTGCTCCTCCTCTTCCTCCTGCCCTCTCCCTTTCCCCTTCCTCCTCCTCCTCCTCCTCCTCCTCCTCCTCCTTCTCCTCCTCCTTCTGCTCCACCTGTTCCTCCTGCGCCTCCTCCTCCTCTCCTCCTCCTCCTCCTCCTCTTTCTGCCTTCTGCTACTCCTGCCCTCCTCCTGCTCCTCCTCCTCCTCCTGCTCCTCCTCCTCCTTCTCCTCCTCCTGCCCCTCCTCCTCCTCCTCCTCCTTCTCCTCTTCTCCTCCTGCTCCTGCCCCTCCTCCTTTTTCACCTGCTCCTCCTGCTGCTGCTGCTGCTCCTCCGGTGCCCTGCTACTGCGTCTCCCTCTTCCTCCTCCTGCTCCTGCTCCTCCTCTTCCTGCCCTTCCTCCTGCTCCTACTTCTGCTGTCCCTGATCCTCCTCATCCTCCTCTTCCCCTCGTCCTCCTCCCTGGCTGTGCCCCCCTCCTAGGGTCCATCCTGATCCGATCGATCCGATTCGGTGTCGATTCCGGCAGGCCCGATCCGATTCGATTCTGACATTCCGACCATCCGACTCGGCCCGATGCTTACGTGGCGCTGCTGTGCACTGCATCCTGGCGCAGCCGATCCGATTCGATTTTGATTCCTCTCGCTTAGCACGTTCTGTCCAGGAGCTGTGGGGCCTCCTGTGAACCTCTGGGGCCTCCTGGAGGCATCTTGGGGGTCCCTTTAGGGCCTCTCGGGGGCCCCTTTCGGGCTTCTTGAGGCCTCTTGGGAGCCTCTTGGGGTGCTCTTGCGTTGTCTGGCTTCTCGGGGGGCCTCTCCTGGCCGCCCTGGGGCACCTTGGCGTCCTCTTGAGGCCTCCTGGAGCTTCTCGGGGCACAGCTATCGAGTGCTCGGCTCGTGGTCCCCTGTTTGGGCCCCTCTTGGGGCCGTTTTGGGGCCCTCTTGGGCCGTCTGCAGCGCTTCTTGGGCCATCTTGGAACCTTCTGGGGCCGTCTTGGGGCCCTCTTGGAGGTTTTTGGTCGCCTTGGAGCACTCTTGGCTTCGGCAATGCGAAGATAGTGTATTTTGCGAAGGTTTATGCCTTCGGAATCTACAAGGGTTTGTGTCGTCGGGGACGCGAACATTTCGTAATTTACGAGGGAGTCTGGTCTCGGGGGCGCGAATCACTTGTATTTACGTGGGGAAAAACTACCGATACCGCCACCCTTCCCTCGCCTCGACATGGGGCCAGATCGCACGGTGTCGGAGGATCGCGCCGCATTGCCGATGCATCGGCGATCCTCCACGCCGAATTGAATCATCCAGTCCATCCGCAGCCAGTTTGGCCCACGCCCGGTCGGCTCAAAACATCTGTGCCTTGGGCCGCGCGCGACTGCGATTCGCTGGGCCTGCCGGGGAGGCAATGGGCATCTGCCACTCGCAAGTCCAGGCCCCCGTTGAGACAACGGCACAGAAGAGATCGGGGGGGGCACTGCCCGAGGGCCCATCGGATGAGGCATCGCACGTTGCTGTCGTGCCCACCGGGCGCTCTGCTCTCTGCAGGCGGCAGGCGGGCAGCATGTGCTCCAAGGGCTGCGGGCGGTATGCCTTCGGCAAGTTCGACAGCTGCTGCGCGCGCTGCAACGGCGGAGGCCGCCACAGCCAGGACTGCGAGCAGAAGCAGCTGAGGGGCTTCTGTGGCGGGGGCTGCGGTCGCCGCGCCAACGTCGGAGAGGACGGCAAGGTGTTCAGAGCGTGCTGCAAGAGCTGCTCCCACCTCCGCGGCGAGTGCGGCCACTGCGGGCACGACGCCGAGTGCGACATCCGAGACAACGGCGGCACCTGCCCGCCCTGGTACTGGACGTCCTCCGTCGGATGGCAGGAGGACGGCCCGCCGTTCCACCGCGAGGTCAGCGGCGAGTATGTCAAGAGCATGGGCACCAAGCTGCTCCAGAAGACGATGCCCGACCGCGCCGTCGTGCGGTGCGACCGCATAGAAGACTCGTCACTCTGGGACAGATATACCCAGAAGCGGGCGGAGATACGCGCCAGGGGCGCGCGGATCGAGGACGTGCAGCCCGAGACGTCCGATCTGCTGGGCTTCTCCGCGACGACCACCCTGGACAGCTCCGTCAACGAGGTCTGGCTGTTCCACGGCACCGACGAGACGGCCGCCAGGGCCATCGCCAGGAGCAACTTCAAGATGCCCAGCAGCGCAGGCAACTTCGGCAAGGGCGCCTACTTCGCGGAGGCGGCCCAGAAGAGCGACCGCTACGCGAAGAAGGCCGCCGGGGACTCGGGCCCGGAGCTTGCCGACAGCAAGGTCATTCTGCTCTGCCGGGTCGTCTTGGGCAACATCAAGGAGGTGGAGGGAACCGACAGCCGGGCGGAGAGGTTGGTGCAGGACCCGCTCGTAGACTCGGTCCTGGGCAAGACGGACTTCAGGGAGTTCCTGGTCTACGACGCCGCGCAGATCTACCCAGAGTACATCATGTGGTACAGATAATCCAGGCCTCCCAAGTGGGGTCCGAGCAGACGTGGTCGGAGGACCGCGCCGCATCGCCGATGCATCGGCGGTGCGCCTCGATGTGTGACCCGGTTTTCTCTACGCCGACGTCGCCGATGTGTCGCCGACGTCTCCGACGCACTGCCGATGCAGGGGCGGCGCAGCGGCGGTGCGGCGCGCTCCCCCTCCTCCTCCTCCTCCTCCTCCTCGTCCTCCTCGTCCTCCTCGTCCTCCTCCTCCTCCTCCTCCTCCTCCTCCTCCTCCTCCTCCTCCTCCTCGGGTCCCACCCGGGAGGCCTCCTGCGGTGCCCGCCGAGCCGGCGCTGCGGGCCCAGGTCTCACCCGGGCCATCTCCCCGCACGCCTCTCGCTCGCAAGAGGTCGGGGGCGGCAAGGAGGGGGGTGATGACAAGGGGGGGGGACATATCATGGCGTGGGCCATGAGAGTTCCCCAGATTTCATGGCGCCTCTTCTTGGTTATTTCATTGCGTCCCTGCCCCCCTTCCCCTGGGCCGCGCACGTGCCGCCGGCCATGGTTTGCATCCCCCCCCTCTCTCACCACCCACCAAACCACCCCAACCCAACCCGACGCCCTCAATTTGCATTCCATTTCCAGTGGGGGGGGGGTCGGGGAACGTTGAAACAACACACGGTGTCCGTACCCCCCCCAACCCGAAATTCGGGTCAAATTCGGGTCTTCGGGTTGGGTTGGGGTGGTCTGGTAGGTAGTCACTCTCGGACGCCCCCCTCTTGGCCGCCCCCGAAGGAGGAAGAGGAGGAGGAGGAGGAGGAGGATGAGGAGGAGGAGGAGGAGGAGGACGCCCCCCTCTTGGCCGCCCCCGAAGAGGCGCAGCAGAGCACGACCGCGCCATGGCCTCGCGGCAGCCCAGGAGCCCATGCGCAGCGGCACGGGGTGCCGCGGCGCGCGCCCGCGCAGCTCTTGGCCTTCGCCTCCAGGGGACTGGGCCGGGAGATCCAGCAGGAGGAGGAGGAGGAGGAGGAGGAGGAGGAGGAGGAGGAGGAGGAGGAGGAGGAGGGAAAATGAGGTGGAGGGAGGAGGAGGAGGAAAACGAGGGGGAGGGAGGAGGAGGAAGAGGAGGAGAAGGAGGAGGAGGAGGAGGAGGAGGAGGAGGAGGAGGAGGAGCTCGCTCTCCTGGAGGCGAGCAGCCCACTGCACTCTTCTAGGCCTCCTGGATGGGGTCGGAGCCGATGGAGTCGGAGGATCGCGCCGCATCACCGATGCATCGGCGGTGCATCGCCGATGCGGCTCGATGTGGGGCCCGCTTTTCTCCTCGCCGACGTCGCCGATGCATCGCCGATGTCGCCAGTGCATCGCCGATGCATTGCCGATGCCTCGCGTCGCCGATGCATCGGCGCTGCTGTGAGATCCTTCGACCCCATCTGCTCGACCCCATCTAGGATGCCTTTAACAGGGGTGGACTTGAACGGTGTTTCGGCGATTTCGTGGGCCGTTTTCGTCTCGATCTCGTTTTGCGGTAGAGGCGGACCGAAGACAAAACGAGGGAGAGCGAGAACAGAACGAAAACGAAAACCACCGCTTAGGTGCAGCCCTGGCCTCTGACTCCGAGGCCCGCAACGCCTCGGGAGCCTCCGACGGAGGCATCCACGGCAGGATCTCCCCTGCGAGGTGGCCCCGCTCGCGAGCGGCGGCCCTCTTTTTTTGCCCTCGCCTGCGCCCCTCGTGCGAGCCTTGGCGTGCTCGCGGAGGCTATGGCCTCACCGGCCCGCGGCCCGCACTTCAACACGTTCCCCCCCACAGGTCTCTGTGCATAGGGGAACAAAAAGTGACAGAAACATAAAACTCGGATGTCCGCGCGGATTTCTCGGATCGGCGCTGGACCCCCCTCCCTGGCGCGCGGGGCGCGCCAGGGGCGGCGCCGGAGGCGCCGTCAGGGGAGTTCAGCGCGGATCCGAGAAATCCATGCGGACCTCCGAGTTTTTATGCTTATGCCACTTTTTGTTCCCCTGGTGCAGAAGCCCTCCTCGTACCCCGAGGCCACTTGCAGCCTGTGGTCTTACAGCCGCGCATCTCGCTACGCCGCTACTCTCTTCATCACTAACGCAGACCGATTGGCCAGCCTGCACCGTTGTCAGGCCCGTGCGTTTTTCCCGCAGAGGCGGTCGCACTTACGTTTGTTTTTTCGTGTTGTCGTTTAGTTTTTTTTGTGCACTCCTGCACGCCCGGGCCGCCGGTTGACTTTGGCGCCGCATGCTAAGTCATGGGCGCGAAGCTCGTATGGTCCGCCAGAAAGGACGAAGGCCTTGTTGTCTGGGGAGGTGGGCGGCGGCGTTGGGGTGGAGGGATGATCGACCACATGTGCAGTCAACCCGCATAGTAAGGATGAGCCACTTTCCAAGGTCACCCTTGCATCCTTCCCTTCTGGCCCATCCTTGGCCGCTCTCGCTGGTCGCGCCCCGCTCGCAAAGTGTCGACATGGCCCTCCAAGGCCCCTGCATCTTTTCGTGCGTTCTCATCGTACCGGTTGACTGTGAGAGTGACGATTCGCCGGAGGAGTGACCTTTGGTGTGGGCTCATTGGGGTCTCCCGGTCGCTGAATGCGATCCGGTGTCAGCGACTTGCGCGCCTGGGTTTGTCAGGAGGGGAAGGAACTCACAGGCACAACGAATCGTCGATCCCGAGGGCGCCGTGGGAAAGTGTGGGAAATGAGGGGGGGGAAGGCGGACATCCCAGAACATGTGGAGAAGCAGGGGGAACCCTGGGACTTGTGTCCCCTCATTTGTGCGTCCCCGGACCCCTTTGTTCGGGTGGGCGCCTTCGGGCCCCCCGATCGCCGAGTGCGCGGCGGTGGCAGCGACCTGCGGCGCACCCGGGCTTGGCCCTCCCCCCCAGCGCCCACCCCCGAAGGCCGCGCATCACCAGAGGGCGCTCCTGACTGCTCAGGGCCTCTCCACCTCCTCCCCCTCCTCCTCCTCTTCCTCCTCCTCCTCACTCCTCCTCCTCCTCCTCCTCCCTCCTCCTTCTCCTCCTCCTCCCTCCCCCTCGTTTTCCCTCCTTCTCCTCCTCCTCCTCCTCCTCCTCCTTCCTCCTCCTCCTCCTCCTGCTCCTCTCCCCTCCTCCTCCTCCTCCTGCTCCTCCTCCTCCTCCTCCTCCTCCTCCTCCTCCCCCTCCTCCTCCCCTTCCTTCTCCGCACCCGACGCCAACGGCATTCGGTCTGAAATGCTCCAGCGCGCTCTATCGCAGTTGTACAACGCAGTCATCAAGGTAGACGCCACTGCGCCAGCCAGCTGAATAACACCGTCATCACAGTAATTCCTAAGTCAGACCTCGCACTCCCCCAGAACTACCGACCGATCTGCACAGTGCCAATGCTGTAGAAGCTCTGTACAGCAGACTACGACCAGCTCTAGACCGACAACAACCTGACGACCAAGCTGGTTTTCGACCTGGCCAGGGCACGCGAGACCACCTCTTTACTTTCCACGTCCCACGAGAGAGGGCAGTTAAAAGGAACCAACACCTGTGTATAGCAGCTATAGGCTTTTAAGAAGCTTTCGACAGTTGAGCAGGACAGCTTGTTGGCAGCTCTACACGACCAGGGTGTTTCACCGGGGTGCGTAGACCTTCTCCAACGCCTGTATCGTGACCAGACTGCCGTGGTACGCAACGACACCACGAGCAAACCATTCGATCTCCGTCGCGGCACAAAACAAGGATATCCTTTGAGTTCATTATTATTCAGCGCACAACTCCAGCACATCTTGGCGCCGCTGGTCACAGACAGACTGGCAGAGACAACGCCGGGGCGTTGAAATTGGCCACGCCGACGAGTCAACACGAACCTGCGGTTCGCAGACGACATCTTACTGATCAGCCAAACGTTACGCAATTTGAAAACAATGCTTTCCGAATTGATCACCTCTGCCAAGCCACATGGACTGGAGCTACACCCGACCAAGACCAACATCATGACCAACCAAACTCGGCACCGCGACCGGGCGACTACAGTAGCAGGGGTGAGCATCGACATTGTACCACGTACCAGCACCATCAAGTACCTTGGCCAGACGGTCACCTTCCAGGACGCCCCCGCGACCGAAGTAAAACACCATATTCAGGCTGCGAGGGCTTGTTTTAGTGGCCATAGACAAGAATTCGCAGCATAAACTACCCATCGCGCCATCGACTACGACTATACAAGGGCCCTGTCATCCTTACCATGACGTGCGGCGCGGAAATCTTGACCCTGACAGAGCCTCTCAAGCAGCAATTACGCCGAACGCAGCGACGCAAGGTCAGAATAATCATCGGGACGCCCAGGAAGCGCACTGTAGCCGCCCCACCACCGCACCGCGACACAGCAGCACACCATAACAACGACCACCACTACGACATGGTTTCTGCTGGTCCACGCGACTCAGACCATTCCAACGATTCCACCGACTCCGACTTACGCAGCGACCCACCCACCGACCAAACCATTTTGCAAGACACTGCCAGCGACGAGGAGGACACGCAGCCCCACAGAACGCGGACAGACGACCTGGAGCTGCGGTCTGACGACATCCGCAGAAGCACGAGGAGGGTGGAGTCACTTCTGCTCATGCACAACATACCAGACGTATGGCATACTCATCGTAGACTGGTGCGGTGATGGGCGAACGCCGTGGCTCACCACCGCACGACACGCTGGACCAAGAGAGCGCTTGAGTGGAACCCGCATCTTATTGTCTTGGCATCGCTCGGACTTGTGCATTTTTTCTTGGACGAGGACCATCGAGGAGCATCCTTGATCATTTGGCGAAAAAGCCACGCACGAAACCGAACAACAACACAGGGAATGGACGTCCGAGCGATGGCGAGTTGTACGTCAGCGTGGACGACGGCTACATCGGGGACAGCCGCAGCGGTGGGACGACGATATCCAGAACTTCCTGCACAGTTTGGACAGCGACGCAGGAGAAGAGCAAATCAGGGCAGCCACCCAACCTAGACATTACGAGCACAACAACACGAACGATTTACGATGGATCCGGGCCGTTGTGTGCACAGAGTGGTAGTCATCATATGAGCGGGCACACGTTTCACAAGTTGAATAGAAGATCTTCCTGTCGAGGCCACGGCCTCCACGCCATGCCTTAATGGTCACGGGCGAGCTCCCCAGAGGACCACGCACGTCTCCGGCGTTCGTTCTTTCGTCCGCCTCCTCCTCCTTCCTCGCTCCTCCTCCTCCTCCTTCTCCTCCTCCCGCCTCACGCCTCCATCCTCCTCCTGCTCCTCCACCTCCTCCTCCTCCTCCTCGTCCACCTCCTCCTCCTCCTCCATCCTCCTCCTCCTCCTCTCCTCCTCCTCCTCCTCCTCCTCCTCCCTCCTCCTCCTCCTCCTCCTCCTCCTCCTCCTCCTCCTCCTCCTCCTCCTCCTCCTCCTCCCTGCCTCCTCAGCCCCCCTCCCGGGAGGTCCTGTCGCTCCGCTTCGCCGGCTGGCTGCGCCGCCAGGAGGAATTGGCCGCGCGGGCCGCCGGGCGGCCCGCCCCTGGCACGGGCTCCTTCATCCCGGCGGCGGCAACACGGGCAGATGGCCCCAGGGTTCAAGCAGTGGCGAAGCGTCCCGGCGTGCCTGTAGCCCCACCAAACAATGTTCTAAGAACCTCTTGTGGTTCCCACGAAATGTTCTTAGAACATTTCTGGCGGAGTCTGTCTTGTTTTAGCACATCGGGCTTATGTTCTAAGAACTTTTTTTTGTTCTTAGAACGTTTTTGGGTTCTCAGAACATTCCGTGGTATGACTATAGGAATGCCGGGACGATCGGTCCCTGCTCGAAGGGTCGGGGGCGGCCAAGACGGGCGGTGATTCCCAGATAGCCCGTAGAGAGCTGATCCGGCGATCGCAAGCATGGATCAAGGGGGGCGCGAATGAGCGGCGGGTCCCGTTTCCATGGGGAATCGCGAAGTCCCGCCGCCGAGCAGGGCGGCACCGACCGCGCCTTGGGGAGGGCACCTCCCCCGATCCATGGATTAGTCGACCGCGCGCCAAATCCATGGATCCATGTTTGCGCGCCCCCGAGCTGAGAGGGTTTCAGATTGAGAAGCCCGAGCGGCAGGGTAGCCCCGGAGCTTGTTCCGGCTTCCGTGCAACAAACACCTCGGCGGAGCTGCTGTGGGCTTCGCAATCTGTCCCGAGAGGCTTTTTTTCTGAGCGTTTCCCAATAAGTGTGCCCGGCAGCTCTCCCGAAGCTCCTTCGGAAGCTCCTTCCAGGAGATTCCAGAGCTCCTTCGAGAGGCCTTGGCGCGCCCTTCTGGCGCTCCGCTATCGGGGTCTTGGACTCCACAAGGGACTACCTTCAAAGTCGTGCCTGTCCCTCTACAGGAGGAAAGTTCAAACATAGTCAATAATATTTTTTTTTTTTGCCATTTGGGGGTATGTTTGATTTTTAGTTCCGTCCAAAATCCCCCTGTAGGGGGACACGCCCGACCTAAGACTACCCGTCGGTCGTTCAAAGTAGGTATTTCTGGATGGATTTCGGATCCCAGTCTGCTTCAGACGCCTTCCTACTGCAGCGGTTGAGTGGTTTCACCTTCTCCTTTCTTCTCAGGGGGGCAATGCTTCTACCCACTTCTTCCGACCGACGGGTAGGGGGGATGGATATCATGGCGCCTCTTCTTATTTCAATGTGTCCCCGGCCCCCCCTTGGGCCGCGCGCATGCCGCTGGCCATGATTTGCGCCTCCCCTCTTGGACGCTCCCTCATTGGACGCCCCCGACAGGAAGGGGATTAATTACTGGGATGGATGTGGGCGTTGCTAAGGGGATAGGGTGGTTGTCAGTGGATGCCAAGCTGGGTAATATCTGGCAAATCCTAGCTGATTGGTGGGTTACACGTGCCCGAAGTGGCTGAGGTGGGTCAGCGATCCTTTCTCAGTAGGCTCCGTCCTCTTAGCAACATTCTTAAACCCCTCAGCCACTCGGGGCAGGTGTAACCCACTTGTGCGCTAGGCTAGTTCAGATATCACTTCCGTGGCATCCACCGATCGCCCTCATGTCCCCTTTGCAACCCCCGTGCCCATCACAGTACGGTTATCCAGGAGCCTCGTCAATATGGTCTTTCCAACCCCCTCGGGCTTCCTAGATTTCGGCCTCTGCGGCCCGTTATCGGGCCCAGGACCATACTGCGCAAGACTCGCGACCGACGGTTTGTCGCAACTTTCGGCCTCATGCGGGCCTTCGCCAGGGACTGTCCAACATCGACCCGGGAAGAAAATCCAGTCCATGGGAAGGGTGTCCAGATATCCGGGGGCCCAGATCTCCTGGGGTCCACATCACTGCGTCGGGTTCTGGGTATCCGGGGGCTCCGATCGCCGCTATCTTCGACGAGGCTTCCCAACCGAATGCGTGCAATGCCCGCCCCTTCGGCCATCCACCCCTCTTGCTTCCGCCAGTCATCCAGGTCGATGCGCCCGCGAAGGTGCCCGAGGACCCGCCTGTCGTGAAGGGGTGTAGTCGGTCGGGGTGTGCCACGGGGGGTTCACTGCCAGGGGCGTCGTCGGCTGCTCCTGGAGATCCAGTGTCGAGGGCGAGAGGGGAGCGAGGTTCGAGGAGGGTTTGGGCGTTTCTGGGCGCCTCTGGCAGGCCTGGGGGCTTCAGGGGGGGGGGGTCAAGGGTGTCCGTTTCCTCGAGGATGTGGCGGCTGCCCGATTTCGGGGGGGGGGGGGTTCTGGGGTAGGGTACCACGGGCTCCTCCTCCTCCTCCCCCTCCTCCTCCTCCTCTCCTCCTCCCTCCTCCTCCTCCCTCCTCCTCCCTCCTCCTCCTCCTCCTCCTCCTCCTCCTCCTCCTCCTCCTCCTCCTGGAGTCCCTGCGGGGTTCTGGGGGGGGGTCCAGGGGCTCCCGGGGCACTGCCCGGGTCGGGCCAGGGTCTCCGAGCTCGGCCGCTCGACGAGTCCGAGGGGTGCTGCGCTTCTCGGGTGCCGCGCGCCGCCGCGGGGTGGGCGCGGTTTCCTCGGCAGACGTGTTAGCTCAGGAGGAGAAAAACCACACAGACACAGTTCATCGTCTCGATTCCCAGAAAATATGGGAAATTAGGGGCAGTGGGGGGGAAGACATAATCCCATAAACTATGGAAAACTACAGGGAACCTTTTTATTTGTGTGTATTTATTTGTGTATCCCAGGGCCCCTTCATTAGCACCCTGTTCCCTCGTTGCTGTCTGCTCCTTTCTCCACCTCATCTGTTTCACATGTCATCGTCTGCACGTGTCCTGGAGCAACATCCGGGTCTGCTTGCTTGCTTGCGGTCTGGTACACAGGGAAACAACTTGTCAGCATTTGGTTGGGAAGAAGTCCAGGGCCGCTTATGGGCGGGTTCCAGCCGGGATGAAGGAAGTGAGCATTTATGTGCGTAGGCTGGGGTGAATCATCGGGAAGGCTCAAAAACATGCTGCGCAAATATTACTCCAGTGTTGGCCTATATTTCGGGTATGATGAATGACGCTTGTTGGTCGTGCTGTAATGCCGTTTGAGCACGCCGATGCGACGTCTCATTCTTCTCACGCATGCCGCCGTCACCCGAACACCGACATAATCGAGCGTCCGAAAACGCTAGAATTGACTGCGACAATTTGACATCCTATCGTGGACGTGGCTTTTCAGTGCAATGCACGTCTTTGTGGCATCCTTGGTCGCAGGTCGCACTCCTTAGACAGGGATCAGGCAGCAGTTACCACTTCGCAGGGATATTGACGTTCGCTATAGCTCTTGGGCGTTGTATTCGAACCATAATGTCATTGTGCATTGTGGCGCTGTACTCTATGGGGGCTGTGGTGCTGCAGCCATATATTCCATCGTGATCATGCAACGTCGAGTGGGCACTCACGTTGAGATCGACAATGCCAATATGGTGTGCAGGTTACGTGGTAAATCTGTAAGAGCGGCTTTGATTTCGTCTTTGCGCAGATTGCGCTGATGGCAAACTAGGATGCCCTCGTTCTACACGAGAGCATTTCCAGTCTCAGAACTTTTTCGAAGTCCTGCAACTTCCTGGATGCAGCGAACTTACATTGTCGTCTGCAGTAAGGTGGCCAGGATTTTGCACAGTGATTGTGCCTGCATGCTGTGAGGTCATCCGTCGCCCCCTTTTCCTTACATAATGTAAGTCATTGTCGCGTTTTTGCATGTACATCGCGTCCATAATCGGTGGATTGGATTCGGCATCTGTATATCATTTCTGTTGAACTGTTTTTTTGCGCTGGTTCTCGCGAGCAGCATTTGCTTCCCGAGTGCATCCCAGCGCCCCCTTTGCCGCCCATCATCCTCGCTTGGCTGCCCACTTATTGTTTGTGTCGTGTCTCTCTTGTTGCCTCCCTCTGGCAGCCCTCTTCCCGTCGACATTTGCCCACGAGCTGTTGATCCTCGTTCCCGGTCCATCTGTCGTTGAAGAAGTCCTGCTCTGAGGCCATACGTATGGTGACACCGTACGGTCTCATGCGCACCTGGCCGTCCCCCAGTCTTGCCGCACGGTCGTTCTGCTGCAGGCCGCCCTCTGCGTGAGCCTCGGTCTTCGTCGCAGGCGCTCGAGATTCCCGTGGGCAGCCCACAGACAGATACCAACACAACGCCGTACACCCGAGATACAGCGCACAGGCAGGCCGCTTGGCGCTCCCGGCTTCCTTGGGGGCCCCACGGGTATTCCCATCTTCCGCGGGTGGGCCCACAGGCGCTCCCATGGTTCTCTTCGGGGTCGGCACGGGTCTCCCCGGGTTCACTCGGCAGCAGATCGTGGGAGCCTGGTATCCCCTCTTTTATTTCTGCCTCCAGCGTCGATTCGAGTCGATTGCAACGTCTGGGCGTGGATGAGACAGCACCGATGAGCGTCGCGTCGATTTGGCGTCGACTCGCGTCGATTCGCTAGAGCCAACAAGATGGTAGAGTGGGGGCCCGTGCCAAGAAACACCCTGCTTGCCTCCAGGGTGCCCCGGGTTTCTTGAGTTTCGATGGCTTTGCGATGGAAAGCGCGACGTCCCCACGCCAATCATCGAGGGACGTCCTGGGGTCTCAGGGTTAGGTTTCTTGCGGAAGGTTTCTTGTGGTCGGGCCTCCACTGTATGGGAGGCTCCCATAAGTTGCCACCGAAGGTCCGGGGCTGCGTCCCCCCGCGGCCCTTCTCTTCGCCAGCTTGTACGCTCGCTCGCCGAGCCTGGCGGTCCCCCCCACAGCGCCCCGCGGCTTCGATTCTGCGGCTCTTCGCCTCGCGACCGCGCTGCTCCCTGATCTTCGAGGGAGCAGGAGGAGGAGGAGGAGGAGGAGGAGGAGGAGGAGGAGGAGGAGGGCAGGAGGAGGAGGAGGAAGGCAGGAGGAGGAGGAGGAGGAGGAGGAGGAGGAGGAGGAGGCGGAAGGAGGAGAGGAGGAGGAGGAGGGGAGGAGGAGAGAGGAGGTGGAGGAGGAGGAGGAGGAGGAGGAGGAGCGGGAGGAGGAGGAGGAGGAGGAGAGGAGGAGGAGGAGGGGATGAGAGGAGGCGGAGGCGGAGGAGGAGGAGGAGGTGGAGGAGGAGGAGGAGGAGGGGCAGATGAGGAGGAGGGGAGGAGGAGGAGGAGAAAGAGGAGGAGAGGAGGAGGAAGGAGGAGGGAGGAGGAGAGAGGAGGCGGAGGAGGAGGAGGAAGGGTGGAGGGGCAGGAGAGGAGGTGGTGCGGGAGGAAGGAGTGAGAGGGAGGAGGAGGAGGAGGAGAGGAGGAGGAGAGAGGAGGAGGAGGAGGAGGTGGAGGAGGAGGAGGAGGAGTGGTTGGGGGCCGGAAGGGCTGTTGCCTGTCCGGAGAGCGCGCGGCTCGAACCAGTGGGGCTCGCCCACCCGCTCGCGCACGGCATCCCAGAGCTGCTTCATTGAGAATACCAAAAAAGGCCCTTAACTCTGATGACGCGATGAAGACGTGGCCTCACTGAGGTCCCAGTCTCTGCACCAGGGATAATCATACTGGGCGGTTCGATACATCTGCAGAAAAGAACAACCTGATCCCTGAGGTTCCTGTCACTCCTAAATGGGGTCGCCTCCCAGAGGGTTAGGGGCCCTTTTGTGCCTACTCGCTGCTGCCCACACGGTCACCTTGGCCCACCAGCCGCTGCTCGGAGAGCTGGGCTCCTTGCCCCCCCCAGGGAGGGCCATCGGCCTCGACGCCCACCTCCAGCGGTCGCCGATACGATGGGTTCCCCCAGATGGGGTAGGGAACCTGGCTTACTCTAGGCCTCCTAGATGGGGCCGGAATAGATGGGGTCGGAGGATCGCGCCGCATCGCCGATGCATCGCTGATGCATCGCCGATGCGGCTCGATGTAGGGCCCCATTTGCTTCACGTCGACGTCGCCGATGCATCGCCGACGTCGACGATGCATCGCCGGTGCATCGCCGACACATCGCCTACGCATCGCCGATGTATCGGCGATGCGGCGCGATCCTCCGACCCCATCTACTCCGACCCCATCTAGGAGGCCTCTCCTTACGCACCCTGCGACCCTTCAGCTCAGCGATCAGACCCTCGAGCGTCGCCGTGGGGACTCGGGGAGGCGAGGACACACTGAACTGAAGGAACCTCGGTGTCCTCCTCCTCCTCCTCCTCCTCCTCCTCCTCCACCCTCCTCCTCCTCCTCCTCCTCCCTCCTCCTCCTCTCCTCCTCCTCCTCCTCCTCCTCCTCCTCCCTCCCCCTCCCCTCCCCTCCCCCTCCCCTCCCCCTCCCCCTCCCCCCCCCTCCCCCTCCCCTCCCCTCCCCCTCGGCTCAGCAATCCCAAAGTCCATCGGCTCAGTGACCCTCGCCTCCCTCTCGCCGCCACGGCGAGAGACCGCGCCCAGGGGCCAGCCCTCGCCGAGCCGAGGCTCCGCCCGCCCGGGGGGGCGCAGGGCTCCCCCCAAGACGCCCGCGCGGCTGCTCGGCTCGGGGCGCCGCCGCGCGAGCCCCTTCGCGGGCCTCGGCGGGGGCTCCGCCCCGGCGCGCCCTGCCGCAGCTCGGCGTCGCCCCAGCATGCTCGCGCCGGGTCTCTCAAGAAGCGCGGGTCGGGCCAGAGGAAAGGGGGGGGATGGGGAAAGGGGGGGGGCTGCGAAATATGCGGCATGCGGCTGGTTTCGGCCCCACCGAGGGGCCGATGCCTCGATACAGAAGTCGCCTCCGGCGCTGGGAGGCGCTGGGAAAACCAGCTACGTGAGCTGATTCTCAACCCCCCCCTTTGCTATCCCCCCCCTTCGCCCGACCCGAGTGGGGGGGCGGATCGCGTGGGGGGGTAGGAAACCGCTGTCCTTCGGGGGGCGTGGGGAGGCCGGGGAGCGAGAGGGGGTGGGTTCGTGGCGCGTGGGGGGGCGGACGAGGGGCGTCGGACAGGTTGGCACGGGGGCGGTGCCTACTGAAGGATCTGGAGTGTACTATCTCGTCGCCCCCAAAGGGGCGACGCGCGCACCGAGAAATCTCACAGTATATGCCTCTTGACGGGCGCTTTCTGGCCACACCGCTCGGGAAACGATCTATACTACAAGATGGGTGTGCCACATGTTCGGTTCGGACGCGCGCCTCCAAGGAAGACATGTGGTACTAGTAGGTCTCTGTGCGTCCCAGCAGACCTGCCTGGCCGACTGTTTCTGTGGCGGGCAGGCCGAGCTCTGCTCACGTCTGGCTCGCTCCTCGCCGGCACTTCGGTGCCGCATGTCGCCTGGATGCGGGAGGGATGCAGCAGGCGGAGGAGGGACAGAAGCGAGGGCGGGCAGCAGCAGCAGCAGCAGCAGCAGCAGCAGCAGCAGCAGCAGCAGCAGCAGCAGCAGCAGCGGCAGGAGGAACTTGCGCAGGGATGGCGACGAGGGGGAAGGGGGGAGAGGGAGCAGGGACAGGAGCGCCAGCAGCAGGCGCATGGGGGAGGAGCACGAGGGGGTCACACCGTCACGCCCACGGGTGCCGAATTACCTTCTCTCGGGCGCGAGAGGCAGAAGAGGCCGCCCGTGCCAGGAGGACGAGCCGCCTGGCAGCAGCAGGGACGGCTCCGATCGGGCCGAGGACGACACCCAGCGGCTGCTTGTCCCAGGCAGTTTGACAGTTCTCGCTGTCTCTCTCTCTCTCTCTCGCTCTCTCTCTCTCTCTCTCTCTCTCTCTTTTTTCCTCTCTCTCTCTCTCTCTTTCTTCCACACACTCTCTTACAAATTCATCCTCGTTTTTTGTTGTTGTTCCCTCTTTCTCCTTCTCTCTCTCTCTCTCTCCCCCTCCTTTTGTTTGTGGTGTTCATGTGTGTGTGTGTGTGTGTGTCTGTTTCTACGTATGAATTTATACGGGTATACTCAATTGAGCGCCCCTGAGCGGGCAGACAACACCGTCCCACGTTTTTGGACACGTGGAGGCTTAGGGAGGCTTTGTGGAGGAAGAGGAGGGTATTCGAATGGTCCCAGAGGGCGAGAGGTGGGTCCAAGACGGTCCAAGAGGGCTTCCCGAAACGTCGATAACAGCCCAAGAGGGCCCCAAGAGGGCCCCAAGAGGCTCCGAAAGCGGCTCCGTAGCCATTTTGGCTCAAGGTTCCAGGCTCGAAGCTTGGGCGCGGATTTCGCGTTGGTATACCAACAGATCTCGATCTAGAACCACACCACCGACAGCACATCGCATCACTCTCTGCCAGAATGGCGATCACCCTCATCGACACCTGCAACTTTGCGGCGGCGGCTGGCGCCGAGGTGTGCCTTCTTACATGCGCACTGATTGCGCTGTGGTGGGGAAGCAAAAACACTCGCGCGGACCTTCGCTTCCATCGGGGCAACAGCAAGTCCCCGAAGCTGGTGGATGCGGCTAGGGCCGTTGCCGTCTCTCCGCCCACGCACGGCGGCGCGCAGTTCACGTCCGTGTACGACTTGGTGCTCTGGAGGCTCCACTCGCAGGCTGACCAGCCCGCGGGCGAGCGGGCCTGCGAGGAGGAGGAGGAGGCGGTCCCCGAACCGAAGGCCGACGTCGACGGCAAGCAGTTGCAGCCGTGGCGACGCACAAAGCCGCCCGCATCCCCCAGCGAAGGGGACCCAGGGCTCGATTTCCAGGCCTTCCTGGGCTGCCTGGAGCAGCACTGCGACATGGCGCTGGATGGCCTCTGCGACCAGGCCATGGGCGAGCAGGGCGACTCGGTGCTCATGGAACTCGAGCGCGACTGCGAAATCCTTGGCCAGGGCGCCCTTCCCGCGACGCAGCCAGGCACTCGGCTGCCCTGTCATGAGTCGCCAGAGCCCGAGGACGAGCCAGACCGCGATTACGACGACCTGTACGACTCTGCGTCGCTGGACTCCGAGCTGGACCTGCAGCTGCTTCGTGACGCGGTGCCAGAGCCGGAGGGCGAGCAAGATCGCGCTTACGATCTCCTGTGCGCCTCCCACCTGGCGGGCCTCGAGGAGCTCAACTGGCGCCTGCTTGGCGAGGTGGAGCGGACGGCCTGCCGGCAACTGTCCTGCGCGAGCCTGCGCGAGAGGCTCATCCTGAGGGTCCGCAAGGCGGTCGCGGACTACATGCTCTGGGCAATCTGACCCCCGCGCGTGTTTTCGCGGGCTGTGCGAGCCCGCGTGCAGGAGGGAGGAGACCTTCGTACACTTTGTCGACAGCTTTGGCGCCAACGTTGGCGTCCCGCTCTCTGGGGAATCTATTGCCGACCACGGTCCCCATCGTGGCTCGGCTCGATTTGACAGGTTCTCTGACACGTTTGATGTGTTTCTTCGAATTCTTGCATGTCTGCCAGAGGCTACACGAGACTCTCGCCAGCCTCTTGCGATCAGTGCCCAGGTCGATCCGTGGCACTGAGTGCTCCTTGCGGCTCGGAGAGCGCGAGGGCCGAGCCGAACGCTCATTGCGTTGATCGGCTGGGTCGATCCAGGTCATGCCCCAGACGAGGGCGGTTTCAATAGAAGGGACGCGGCCGCCCAGACCCCCTTGAGTCGTGAAAAGTCATAGTGGAGAGGCCAAGGGGTTACACACCATCGCACGGCCCATTACGGCCGACGGTGATACATGGCGGCCGCCTCCGAAAAGGGCGGTTTCAAGAACTTTGCATGCGCGGGAGTGCCCCGTCAATCCTCCACTTGATGCGCAGCCGTGTATTTTTAATAATTGCATGCGGAAGCGTATGCCAGACAGGACTCCTTTAAGATGTCCCAGGGGGCCTGGTGTTCTTCCCGGCACTGGCTTCCCAGAATCTGCCCTGGCCCGCAGGCTGCGGACGAGCTGCTTGCTTGAAGCTATCGCCGAGGTTCGTTCCGGAGCGGCATCGATGGGGCCGCCTCTTACCAGCCTCGAACTTATCCCTATCCCTAAGATTGACACGCCAAAAGGCGATGACAATCTTAGGGGTTGGCCCTCAAAAAATAAGGGAATCCGTAAGATTGGCATCGTGATGAGGCGATGCCCAGCTTAGGGATAGGGATATGTTCCAGGCTGGTAAGCCTCATGGTCTGGCACATTCCAAGGGGTCTGGAGGGCCGGCGCGCGGTTGCAGCAACGTCTGTTCACCAAGTGCCTTGTGATCATAATGGAGGGAGATTGGTTGGAGTGGTGTTGGCGTGTTTGTCGGTGATCGGCGTCGTGGGGACGGTGGGAGGGATTGGCACTGAGATCCAATCTTCTATCTCAAGACGGTGATGGAGTCGCTGTCTAGGGCCTTTGCTTCGGGATGACGTTTTCTTTTTAAAACTATTTCCCGAATTCGGGGCTCATCGGTGGAAAAATTGAAAAGATCGGCTCCGAAAGCGGCGCACCCAAAGGTGTCGAAAACGGCGCACGAAACTGAAGAGGGATACGGAGAGGTACAAGGGAGCTACACGAGTGAGAGTTGGGGCCTCAGATGGCCCTCCATGGACCCCCTGGGCGCGCTCTAGACGTCTTAAGAGGGTTCAAAAAGGGTGGCTAGACTGCCCAAGATGGGACCGAGAGGCTTTCAGGACGGCTCGAGAGGCCTTGGAGATATCACAACGTGGCCAGAGAGGCCCCAAGAGTGCCACAAGAGGCTCCACGAGAGTTCCAAGAGGCGCACAGAGAAGCCCGAAAAGGCGAAAGTAATCAAAATCCCTTGCATGTTTTGTTGTGTGGGTTTTTGGTATCCTTGGGTCTTCGGCTCAACATGACTCGAAAAGGGCTTCGGAAGGGTCCGAGACCGCTCCAGAGGACCCCTGGGACGGGCCAAATGAGCCCAAGATGTCGTCAAGAGGCTTCAAAGAGTGCCCAGGAGGGCTTCCAGAGAGGTCCCGCACAACGCTCAGAGGCGGCCAGAAGTCTCCCGTGCGAAGGCGTGCTTCAGTTGAGGGCAACATGGCGGCCAGCGGACGCCCGTAGTTCAGCCGGGGCCAGCGGAATGAGCAGGCCGCGGGGAGGACCCCAGGAGGGGTTGCGAGCTCTCTTTGGAAAGGTATGGGTACGAGGGATGAGTGGATAAGACGACTGAGGGGGTGAACAAAGCTGGAGTTGGCTGGCTGAGCAGGGGCTGCAGCTGGATCCCGCGCCAGATTTGGCAGCTGCAGCTTCTTGAGCTAGACGCAGGGGCGCAGCTGGAGCTTGAGTTTGACGTGGCAGCTGCAGCCAGGGTCGCGGCAGGATTCCGCTGAAACTGGGAACGCGGGAGGAGGAGGAGGAGGAGGAGGAGGAGGAGGAGGAGGAGGAGGAGGAGGAGGAGGAGGAGGAGGAGGAGGAGGAGGAGGAGGGCCGAGGCCAAGGCAGAGCTGCCCTGGGGGGCGGTGAGAGACCGAGGGCGCACGGCGGCTCCGCCGGGAGGGGCAGCCCGCAGCGGGGCGCCGCCAGGGCCAGGTGCAGGCCGGTGCCGCTCGTAGCCACGATGTGCGACAGTTTCAGGGATGTGAGGCTGGGACGTGAGGCTGTTACAGTTCAATTGTTCGTGGCAGCGGGAGCGTGGGCCTGGCAACATCTACAACGGATGGTGGCCTCGTGGGCACGAGTCTGGAGGAGTTCGCGATGGGCTGCAGGTTGGGTACTGCGAGTCTGGCTCGATTTGAAATCAGGAACTGTGGCTTCGGGCGCCCAGAACTGTTGCGATTCACAGCAAGGATGTTGACTTCTGGAGCGCGGACCCGTATTACAGTCAAAAACCTTAATAAGGACGTGCGGCTTTGCTCAGGGTACCCTTGCGTCCTTGCTCTTCCTTGCTCTTGCGTCCTTGGGGTTTTCGTCGTCCGCCGCCCCAGAAATCCCAACTTCGGCTTCCAAGGGTCTTGCGTCCTTGCCGCGCGTCCTTAGGGTTTTTGATTGTATCTAGCGTTATGATGTTCCGACCTACGTTAGCCTTGGCCACCAGAAAGGTCGAGCACCAGAGACTACCCAAGAGCTCCAGGGTTTTCACGTGTCGCGCCCCGGAAGGCACTCGTCCGACACTGTTTCGACACCCTGTCGACACTTTTCTGGGTGCTCGGAATCATTTCTGGGATGTGGTCCTTGAGTACGATAGGAGCAACATGAATCTAGCGGACTTCGGCCCATGGGTAGTTTTTTCCCAACCATCCTGTGATGTTGGGTTCTCGTTTTCAAGAGGCAGCGCCCCGCGTCTCACCTCACCTCACCTCACCTCCCTCCCTCTTCCCTCTCCTCCCTCCTCCCATCCGCCTCGTCATCGTCATCGTCATCGTCATCATCGTCATCATCATCGCCACAGTTCGTGGCACCACAGGGAGCTCCACCGAAGGCCAAAGTGGCAGCGGTTGCGTGCGGGGACCGCCACCCCATTTTGGTACACCCCTCACACGGTTCGCGGCCCTGTAGGGAGCTCAACCGAAGGCCCCAGTGGCTGGGCCCGCATGGCGGCGCCGCCCCGCGTTGGCGCACCCCTCACACGGTTTGTGGCCCCATAGGGAGCTCCACCGAAGGCCCCAGCGGCCGCGTCCACATGGCGGCGCCCCACCCATTTCGGCGTACCTTTCACACGGTTCGTGGCCCTATAGGGGGCTCCACCGAAGGCCCCAGTGGCAGGATCCACATGGCGGTATCGCCACATTCGGCACATTCTTCACACGGTTCGTGGCCTCAGAAGGAGCCCCAGTGGCAGGGTCCACATGGCGGCGCCGTCCCATCTTGGAGCACGCTTCACACGGCTGGTAGTCGACCCATAATGAGCACCACCGTAGGCCCCATATGCGAGGTCCGCATGGCGGCGCCGCTCCATTTTGGCGCACCCCTCGCACGGTTCGTGGCCCCATAGGGAGCTGCACCGAAGGCCCCAGTGACAGGGTCCACATGGCGGCGCCGCCACATTTCGGAAAACTCTTCGCACGGTTCGCGGCCCCATAGGGAGCTCCACCGAAGGCCCCAGTGGCAGGATCCATATGGCGGCGCCGCTCCATTTTGGCGCACCCCTCACGCGGTTCGTGGCCATGTAGAGAGCTCCACCGAAGGCTCCATTTGGCAGGGGCAGCATGGCGGCGCCGCAGCATTGTGGCGCACCCCTCAAACAGTCCGTAGCCCCATAGGGAGTTTCACCAAAGGTACCAGTGGCAGGTTTCAGCATGGCGGCGCTGCTCCATTTTGGGGCACCACTCGTACGGTTCGTGGTCCCATAGGGGGTCCACCGACTGCCCCAGTGGCAGGGTCCACATGGCGGCGCCGCCCCACTTTGGCGCACCCCTCACACGGTTCGTGGCCCCATAGGAACCTCCACCGACGGCCCCAGTGGCAGGGACCGCATGGCGGCGCAGCCCCATGTTTGCGCACCCCTCACACGGTTCGTGTCCCCATAGGGAGTTCCACCGAGGGCCCCAGTGGCAGGGTCCACATGGCGGCGCCGCCCCATTTTGGCGCACCCCTCACACGGTTCGTTGCCCCACAGGGCGTTCCACGTAAGGCCCCAGTGGCGGGGTCCGCATGGCGGCACCGCTCCATTTTGGCGCACCCCTCGCACGGTTCGTGGCCCCATAGGGAGCTGCACCGAAGGCCCCAGTGGCAAGGTCCACATGTTGGCGCCGCCCCAATTGGGCGCACCCCTCACACGGTTCGTGGCCCCATAGGGAGCTCCACCGAACGCCACAGTGGCGGGGTCCGCATGGCGGCGCCGCTCCATTTTGGCGCACCCCTCGCACGGTTCGTGGCCCCGTGAGGAGTTCCACCGAAGGCCCCAGCGGCAGGGTCCGCATGTAAGCGCCGTTCCGAGTTCGGCCCCCCTTGCATTTGGGCCACCGTGGGCCCCCCTCCTCCGTCTCATATCCTTCGCGGTTTTCGCGGCTGCATACGGTTGGGTCTTTCGTCGGGCTGAATTTCCAAACAGCATGTGGCGTTGGGTCCTCGTTTTGAAGAGAGAGCACCCCGCGTTCCCACTCCTCCTCCTCCTCCCCCTTCTCCCTCTTCCCATCCTCCTCGGCATCGTCATCGTCATCGTCAGCGTCATCATCGTCATCATCATAATCGCCATCGTCATGGTCCACATCGTCATGAGCATCGCCATCGCCATCGTCAGCGCCGCGCCCCTCACAGGGTTCGTGGCCCTGTAGGGAGCTCCATCGAATGCCCCAGTGGCAGGGTCCGCGTGCGGGGACCGCCATTCGTTTCGGCGCACCCCTCACACGGTTCGTGGCCCTGTAGGGAGCTCCACCAAAAGCTCCAGTGGCAGCCAATATTTTGGCGCACCCCTCACACGGTTCGTGGCCCCATAGGGAGTTCCACCGAAGGCCCCAGTGGCCGCGTCCGCATGCGTCCTCCCCGCACCCCTCACACGGTTCGTGGCCCCATAGGGAGCTCCACCGAAGGCCCCAGTGGCCGCGTCCGCATGCGCCTTCCCCGCCCACTTTGGCACACCCCTCACACGGTTCGTGGCCCCATAGGGAGTTCCACCGAAGGCCCCAGTGGCCGCGTCCGCATGCGCCTTCCCCGCCCACTTCGGCACACCACTCACACGGTTCGTGGCCCTGTAGGGAGATCATCCACCGAAGGCCCCAGAGGCCGCGTCCGCATGCGCTCCCCCCGCCCACCGCACGTCCAGTTCCTCTTCCCGCTGCGGGCCGCCCATTGCATCCACGGTTCGTGGTCCCATTGGGAGGCCCGTCGAAGGATGGCCCCAGAGCGTGGTATCCATGTTGTTTTTTCTTCGGCGAGGACCATCTACAGTCGGGGCCCTGAAGAAGGAACCCTTTTCGTTGGGGAGGGGCTCCGTGTTCCTTAGTTGTTTCGCAGCTTGCCTGGGATTTCCCCTAGGTTTCCGATACCAAAAACGAAGTTCAACTCATGGAAAATGGGGGGCCTCGCTCCTTCTTTAGGGTTCCTTAGGTCAACGCCTCGACTCCTCCTCCTCCTCCTCCTCCTCCTGCTCCGGCCGAGGCCTGTGAATCTGATGAACATGTTCTTGTGCAGAGGTACCCCGAGTGGTACCAGAACTCGTTCTTTAATCACTTGCAGCGTGTGCATGACAGTCTCAATTCTATCCCCAACTTCTACAATCATGCCACGTCTGATCTTCAAGCTAAAGTTACGAAGTATCTTACTGCTGCTCAGCGTCTTCCTCCTATTACTATGTATCTTGGTGCCAGGCTGAAGCACTTCGATCCCGAGCTCGAGCCAAAAGATGTTGACACCTGCTTCTTGCACCTTGGTATTATCTCTCGTCATCTTCCTCAGTTTGTTCTCATAGCTGTATTTCGTACCATCTTCAACGGGTGGAGTACGACAGGCCGCTTTAAGCAAGGTCCCATCTGTTGTCGATTCGGCTGTCAAGCGGTTGGAGGAGACCACGTTCGTCACTATTTTGAGTGCCCCATGGCGATCCCCCCTCTCCAGGCCCTTCTGCCGTGCCTGCCCGACGATTTTCCGAGCATGAGTTTTCAAAATCGAATGTTGTTTCACAAGCGTTTGTTTTCCCATAGTGATCAGGTGTTGTCCTTAGCTATTGCCGCCGATCTATTGCTGTCTTCCCACCACTCGCTTCGCTCGGCCGACCGCTTCGAGAGCCCACACCGTCTGATGACGGCCAGAGCCCGAGCCTTAGCCCGCCGCAGCGCTGGGGCAGCGAGGCTGCTGCGCTGACCAAGGACTGCGCTCTCTGGGGGCGGTTCCCTCCTCCTCCTCCTGCTCCTCCTCCTCCTCCTCCTCCTCCTCCATCCTCCTCCCTGCTCCTCCTCCTCGCTGCGCCTCCCCCGCATCCCTGCTCCTCCTCCTCCCTGCGCATTCAGGGTCCCTTATGAGCACTCGAGGCCATCTGGCGAAGAGTACGACGACGCCGAACAACCTGCACGGGGAATGGGCGCCCTCAGCGGAAGCGAGGGCTCGCCCGGCTCGCCCGGCGTTCCCGATGCTGGCCGTCCGCCCTCGCTCCCCTGACCCCGCCCCTCCTCCTCCTCCTCCTCCTCCTCCTCCTCCTCTTCCTCCTCCTCTCCTCTCCTCCTCCTCCTCCTCCCTCCTCCTCCTCCTCCTCCTCCATCCTCCTCCCTGCTCCTCCTCCTCGCTGCGCCTCCTCCTCCTCCTCCATTCTCCTCCTCTTCCTCTCCGCCCGTTTCCTCACCTCGCCTCCCTGCCGTGCCCTTCCCTTTGGGTGCGGGCAATATTTATATCCATATCCAGTGCGTCTTGGACTTTCTTGGAAGGGGCGCCGCAAGGCCGAGGCGCACTGGATATGGATAACAATTGAGCCTTTTGGAGGCAGATTACAATCCATATCCAGTGCGCCTCATGTTTCTTTGGAAGAGAGTCCGAAACTCCAAGACGCACTGGATGTGGATATTGACATTGCCCGCATTGGACGCCCGAAATGGGTACGGAAAAAGTGGGTACAATGCCCAGCAGCAAGTGCTGTCCCAAGCAGACAGCGGCCGCTGTTGGGCAGGCGGCCTCCTGTCTCAAGTGGACACAGGCCGCGGCTGCGGGGACAGCGGGTCCTGTTCAAAATGAGCAGGAACTGCTGTTGGGCATTGTACCCATTCTTTCTGTACCCATTTCGTGCGTGCAGATTCCCCCCCGTTCTGTCGTTGGTCTCCTGCCCCTCTTCCCCTGCGACGCCGCCGCATTCCCCCCCCCCCTCCCCCCACCTGTGCTGTCCCCCCTCGCGCGCCGCCCCTGGCGCGCTCCGCGCGCCAGGGAGGGGGGGTCCAGCGCAGATCCCAGAAATCTGCGCGGAGCGCCAAACGTTTATGTTTGTGGCGTGTTTTCTTCTTCTATGTGATCTTTTTTTGTATTCACTGTTTTGCAGATCGGCGCGGGCCCCCAACCCCCCCCTCTCCCCCCATGGAGTAGATTTTTGCTGTTTTTTGGCGCCTGTTTCGAGCAGGTGGAGTCCCTCCCCTTAAGGACGCGCGGTTCCAAACAGTCGCACAAAGCGGAGGTCCGGAGCCAGCCCCCCCCCCCTCCTCCCTTTCCGCCCAAGGTCGAAACGCCGAATAAAAGAAACGCCCACTATCCTCCGCCCTGGCCAGAGCGGCGCTGGAGACGGAGAGCGCTCTTCCCCGCCGCGGTAGGCTCGCATCGCGCGGACGTGGCGGCGACTCAGCCGCGGGCGTTCGATGGTGAACGCTGCCAGTGGCCCACGATCGGCCAACATTTGAGGGCCAATCTGGAGCGAAATTGCGATCGAAAAGCCGCCGACCGCCCATCGTTCAGGCTCGAACACGCCGCGCGGCGCCAGAAGCCTGCACCTGGTCCCCGCCACGACTCGAGCCCGCCGCAGCCCCCCGAGCTCGGCGGCCGGTGCCGCGCGGAGAGGACGAGAGCGAGAGCGACGCCGCGCGAGCGAGACGAGCCCGAGAGGAGCGCAGCAGAGGAGGGCCGCCCCGCCAGGCGGCGCCGGCAGAGCTGCGGCGCGCTCGCCCCGGCGCCTCCGGCGCCGGCGGTCCCAGGGCGCGGGGGTCTGAGGCTCCGAGGCCCTGCCCGCCGGTCTCGGATCTCGAGGGGCCGCCTGCCCTGCTGCCCCGCCCCCCCCCCCTCGCCGGAGGAGGAGGAGGAGGAGGAGGAGGAGGAGGAGGAGGAGGAGGAGGAGGAGGACGAGAAGGAGGACGAGGAGGAGGAGGAGGAGGAGGAGGAGGAGGAGGAGGAGCTGCCCCTTCCCCACCCCCCACGCCCTGCCCTGCTCCCATCGCTCCCCTCCGCCCTCCGCCCTCCGGCCGCGGTCCACGCTCCCACCTCCCTCCTCCTTCCTCTCTTCTCCCTCCTCCCTCCTCCCTTCACCCCTCACTCCTCCCCCCCTGGCCCTCTCCATCGTCGTCCTCCCCCGGCAGATGTTTCGATGTCGCGATTGTCGGAGCGTGGTGCTTCGATGCCGTGCTCGCGTCCCTCGCAGCAGTGCTCCTTCACTGGATCGGCTTCCTCGAGAGAATGTGTAAGCTGTGCGCGGCGCGCTTTCCTTTTCGTTAGCCATCCAATTGGATAGCGGACGCCAGCATCGTGAAAGCGTGCACACAGATATATGTAACCATATTCTGTGCAGAGCTGCCGGAGACACTGTCGGGACTACCCCGCGCACAGTGTAGCGGACCGTTGGCATCTATTGTATTTCCGAGCTGCTTTGGTAAGGGCGCGGTCGAGTTCATTGCCCGTAGAAGGCCAACCACGGTCCCCAAGTTCATCAGGGCACCATGATAACCAACGCCAGGAGCGTCGACTTGGCAAGGGTGAGCAAGATGGGCGCTTGCCTTGGAGGCTGCAGTGCAAGGTGTCAAATAACTTGATCATAACACCGGGCTAGCCGCTTCCCCATCTACGGCTGTTCAACCGGTCCTGTTGACTCCACTACCGAATGACCTCAGAGGGAATGGTTTGTGCGCGAGCCAAGTGTGTGCGAGGTAAGTTGATCACGTGCAGTCGCTCTCTTAGAGGGCCGCGGCGACAAATTGCTTGCCCTCCCTCGCGAGATGTGGCCGTTCGTCCGGATGATGGTGGCTCAGACAAGCCATGAGGATTTGACGGGTGCTGTCACGTCCACCAAAGCTCACGCCAGCTCGCAGATGATAACGGTGCTTTGGGAATCCTGCGTGGGCTCCCTTGCCAGTTGACCTCATGTGGAGAGCTGCCGCTTTTTCGATCAGTGTTCCCCCTTTCCCACGAGATGGCTGGCGCGCCGGCCAAGCAGCCATGACCACCTGGTCACAGGACGTTCATTTGAAGATCCACAGGTGGCATTCCCTTGTGCGCAGTGGGCGAATTTCTGATATGAGAGGAGGTCGCGTGCTTTTCAACCAGGGCTGCTAGTGCAACTTTTGGGATGTACCTTGCAGGATCACGCATTGTCTGCTCGATCACTTGTGGCAGTCCATGTCTTGGTAAGTTGGGTCAGGCTTTGGCCACAGTTTCTGGTCTATTCTCGGCGGTTCGTCGGCCGTGCTGGGATGGATGCGGGCGCGCTCCGACAGTGGGGGTCTCACTGCTGATCTTACTGTACGTATCAACGCGCTCTGATGAATCATGAACATCGCCCGAAGACGACGGATCACACAACGGCGTAGGGCGCAAAGAGCATGATCGTGAACGCAGTGGATTTGTAATCGGTGGACTCTGGTTCATTTGGGCAGCACTTTGGAGCCAGCAGTGGCAGTGGGAGCCAGGCATGGTGGCACGTACAGCCAATCCACTGGCCTAGGCTGCATATAGATCGGGCATGGTTCCACCGCTTCCCCTCTTTTTCTTCTTCTTCTTCTTCTTCTTCCCTGGTTCCGTCCTCTACCCTCGCAATCCCGCCAACCTCCAACTCCTAATCTGCCAGCCTCCCTCCGTACTCCTCCCTCCCCCCCCCTCTCCCCCGTGTATCTCCTCCCCCCGCCCTGTTCCCTCTCCCTCCTCCCTTCCGAGAATCCGCTCTGTGTACCAGTGTGATCGCTTCGGCCCTCTCTCTCTCCCGCCATGGCTGTGGCAGGAAGGGGGGGAAGAGAGGGGGAAGAGAGGGGGGAGGAATATGTGTTGAGCGGTCCCCACCCATCGCCCTAAGGGCAATTTTGAAAAAACTGCACAGAACATGAAATTCATAGTTCAAGCATTCGAGGGGCCGAAACTCCTGCTAAGGACATGCGATATTCTGAAAATGACACTTTTCCTGTGACGGGAATTGCCCAGGAACATGCCAGGAGCGATTAAGCACATTCCCGTTCGGGATTTCCTCAACATGTGTTTCCCCGCTTGAAATTCCTGGGGCACTTTCCGGAAATTCACACATACAGTTTCACTTATGAAATTGTTGTTAATGGCGCTCTAATTTTCTATACACATATTCCTCTTCCTATATTTTGCCCGGGCGGGGGACCCCCCCCAAAAAACCGGACTCCCGGGATTTGGGGCTTTGGGACCCTCCGGACGGGCCTCGAAGCGCCCCCCCGGGCCTCGCAGAGCGTAGGAGGGTCATCGGAGACGTCCCAGAGACCCCCAAGACAGCACAAGAGCGCTCCAAGAGTGACCGACGTGACCTCAAGATGGCCAAAGAGGCTTCCAGGACGGCCCCAAAGAGGCCTCCAAGAGCACTACCAAGAAGGCCCCAAGATGCAAAAATCATTGATCTTCTTTTGTTTTTTGATTAATTTGGGGGTACGGCGGACTTCTGGGCGTCCGAAGCCGCCTGGGAGGCTCCCAAATCGCCCCACAACCATCCGAAAGGGCTTCCAGGCAGTCCAAGAGAGCGCCAAAACAGCACAACACGGGTCCAAGATGGCCGACAGAGAGCCCCATGGCGGCCCAAGATGGCCCCAAGACGCCCTCCGAAGCATTCCAAATCGAGACCCGGTCGTTCAGGGAGACCGCGGTTGGAGGCAGGGTGGCTTGAGGAACCCCCCACAGGCCCCCAGAATACGCCCAGGAGGCCTCCAGAAGGCCTTACGAAAGCCTGAAACAACTTTTGCGAGGCTCCCAGAGGCTCTCCAAGGAGGAGCCTCCGCAAAAAAGAGCTGAGGAGGATGGGGAGAATGCGCAGGGTATGGCGAAGATGAGGAAAAAGAAGCGTGGAGGAAGGATAACGAATAACATTATTATAGCGGCGATGTCGGAAAAGGCAACAAGGAGTTATCGCTGAATTGTCTGTTTGACCTTTCTGCTATTCCGCCTGCATACCAAACTTCAAGGACCAAGGCGCATGGCGCGAAGCGCCACTGCAGTCTTGTATATATGTATATATACACACTTATACACATATATATATATATATTTATATATGTATGAGTATGTGTTGTTTTTTTCCTTGTGCCCTTTCGAATGGGGGGCCCATCAATCGGGAGGCTGCAGAAGATAGGAGGGAGGGTGGAGGCGGTTGGAAGGAGAGGATGGCAGAGGGGGGGAGGAGCGGCGGCGAGCCCAGGGGGGTCGTGCGAGGCAGCGGGCCTCCTCGGAAGGCCGCGCGGGCGGGGCTTCTCGGAAGCCCTCTGGCCTTTGGGAGGGCGTCTCTGCCGTCGGGGAAGGCCTATTACGTTGCATCTTCGGGGGGCCTCGCCTATCCCCAAAATTGGTGTCTTTTCTTGTGTCCGACGCATGCTTGATGCGGACTCGACGCGGACTTGGCATGGATTCGACGCGGATTCGACAAGGATCCGACGAGTCCGACATGGATTCGATACGGATTCGACGCGGATAGGACAGCGACGGGACAGACAAGGTCCCCCGAGGATGCATCGTAAGGCCTAGAATGCCTCTCAGAGTCACCACCCACCAAACCACCCCAACCCAACCCGAAGGCCTCCATTTGCCCTCCATTTCCAGTGGTGGGGGGGGTCGGGGAACATGGGAAACAACACACACACACATGGAACCCGTGCCACCCCCCCCCCCTCCCCGAAATTCAGGTCTTCGGGTTGGGTTGGGGTGGTCTGGTAGGCAGTCGCATAAGGCCCGAGGCTTTCCGAGTCTTCTGGGGTGTGGCGAGCCAGCGATGCCGAAGCTCCCCGGCCTCGGCATGTGCCTGGGCCCAGGCCCACGCCGTCAGCTCGTCGGGTCGCGCGAGCCTGAAGCCGGGTGTGCCTGCTGTCTCGGCTTTCTCCTCTGCCTCTCCTCGTCCTCCTCTTGGCATCGCTCGGACGTGTGCACTTTTCCTTCGGCGAGGACCATCGAGGAGCATCCTTGATCACTCGGCGAAAAAGCCACGCACGAAACCGAAAAACAAACACACAGGGAATGGACGTCCGAGCGATGGCCAGTTCTCCCCTCCTCCTCCTCCTCCTCCTCCTCCTCCCCTCCTCCTCCTCCTCCTCCGCCTCCTCCTCCTCCTCCTCCTCCGCCTCCTCCTCCTCCTCCTCCTCCGCCTCCTCCTCCTCCTCCTCCTCCTCCTCCCCCTCCTTCTCCTCCTCCTCCGCCCTCCTCGCGCCTCAGCCAGCCCCACACAGAGGGACGGCGTGCTGGCGCCGGCCGCACGCGTGTCCGCGCGCGGGAGGAGGCGGCGGCCGTCGCCCGCCGGGCGCCAGTCTTGTGTTCTCGGTGCGTCTCTGCCCCGGGCGTCCCCGAGGAGGATCAACACTGGGCTCGCCGCCATAATCTCACCGCCCACCAAACCACCCCAACCCAACCCGAAGGCCCCATTTTGCCCTCCGTTTCTAGTTTGGGGGGGGGGGGCCGGGACACGTGGAGAAAACACACATAAGGCTCGTACCCCCCCCCAACCCGAAGTTCGGGTCTTCGGGTTGGGTTGGGGTGGTTTGGTAGGTAGTCATAATCAGCCACGCGCAGAGGGGGGGGGAGAGGGGAGGGCTTCTTAGACGCACCCCTGCTTCTTAGACAGCGCGGGCCTTATCTATAGATGTAAGGCCGGCGTCTTCTAAGAAAAGAAGCCTCCTTCCAAGAAGCCCTCCCCCCTCCCTCCACCCCCTTGTGCGCACCGCCATTATATGGGGAGGACGAGCCCGGGGGGCAAGTGAGAGGGGGCGGGCCCTCTCAGAAGGCTCGGAAGTCGCCTGGCCTTCTGAGAAGCTCTCTTCAGGCCTTCCCCGAAGGCACGGGGCACTTCTCAGAAGGCCGGGACGCTTCTGAGAATCCCCGTCGCCTTCTGAGACGGCTTCCTCCTTCTCATTTCCCCCCTCGCTCGCCGCCGATGTCAGATTCGAAGACGAAAAAACGGCGTAAAGATAAATGTTCGGCGCTCCGCGCGCTGGGCCATCCTGGCGGCGCCTCCGGCGCCGCCCCCTGGCGCGCTTCGCGCGCCAGGGAGGGGGTCCAGCGCAGATGGAAGAAGTCCGCTCGGAGCGCCGAAAGATTATGTTTCTGCCGCTAGTTGTTCGTCTAAAGAAGAGGACTCGATTACACGTAAGAGTGACCTTTCGCCGGAGTGATCGTTGGGTGCGGGCCCAGTGGGGCTCCCCGATCGCCGAACGCGACGCGGTATTCGCGTTTTGCGCGCTCTTGTTTGGTCCCCCCGCGGCCCCCAATGAACCGCGCACCACAGGTAACTCTTACCCAGGGCCACTCTTGCGTGTAGTCGAAGGACGAGAGATGGAAGGTTTCTCCGAAGGGCTTGGGCGACCCGTCCTTCTTCTCCTCCACCTCCCCCTCCTCTTCCTCCTCCTCCTCCTCCTCCTCCTCCCTCGTCCCACTCCTTCACCTCCTCCCTCCCCCTCCTCCATCTCCTCACCCTCCTCCACCTCCACCTCCTCCACATCCTTCACCTCCTCCTCCTCCTCCTCCTCCTCC